GTCAATCACTGTGCAATTAGGGGGGGAAATTCTCAGTGTAAAGCCTACTTTAATATCAAACATGGTCATATAAGTTAGGCGGAGTGGAAAAGAAATACAAATTCACTATATAACATAAATATATTTTGATAAAAAATTGATTTTTCCACTCAAGATGAGTGCTCACATAAATGGTAGATGCTAGTTATTTTCCTTATCACATTAAGTTTGCTAATATTTTTCTGTAGTTTTATAACTATCAGAAGACCCTTTCAACTTACAAAAGGTCTCAAGCGTATGTACTGACTTGCAAACACAAATTAAGCCTAGTGGTTCCATCAGGCGCCATATTACAAGAGGTCATTTGATATGAATTAGATGTGCAAAATGTAGAAAATGACCCCAAAGTTACTTTAAGATAAAACAGTAAATCTAGGTTACAACTTGACAAACACATATTGTATTTTTTTCAACCTTTAGAATAATCTCTCTTTCTCATCTACCTTTGATCTTTTCTCTGTTAGAATTGGGTGACTCCGGACTTCACTAGTAAATCCTTTCATTCCTTCTTGAAGCCAATGGATATCGTCTCTGTTGAGGTAACCGGCTCCCTGGATGCTGTCACCCCCTGCAGGACAGATGTGAAATGGATGACTGACCAAGAAAACTATGAGAACACAATCTCCAGCTTCTCCAACCCAAGTTACTCTAAGTTTTGCTGTCCTCCTGTATCCTCGCTTACTGCTGGGAGTCTGGAGCCCTGTGCTGCTGATTCTCCTTATGGGCTCTTCTCTTGCCACGGAGATGAGGAAATCAAAAGGCATGATGCCGATGTGCCTGAGAAAAATATAGAAGTTAAAAAGTTGCTTTCCAAGTGCAGCAGCAACAGTGAGTCTATTCCGATGATTTCAGACTATGAGAAAGTCGAAAAGCTCCAATTTGTGTGTTTCAGATTAGAGAGTGTAGATTCAGGAATGTTCAGTGGGGAAGAGGTCAGTCAGGACAACATGGAGGCAGACAGCATCAATGCCACTGATGCCGGAAGTCTGGGCAAAGAAGAGAAGGAGGCACAGGATGTGAGAAATGGGAGTTTTCAGATGTTGTTTGGGAAGAGTGGAATTGATTTCGATAAAGAGTCTATTAAGGTTTGCTGTGATTACAAACGAGTCACAGAGCTGCAGGCTGCCAGCACTGAGTTCCCAACCCTGGAGCCAGGCATCAATAGTGGAGGTGAAGAAGGCAAAGACAGCAAATTTGAGGTTTGGATGGATGGATGAGTTCCTTTCTTGACTATTACTTTGTTTGTATGGCAATAAATGCTGATGTAATCAAAATCTGATGATTTTGAAAACAAGGGGCTAACATGCATATACATAAAATACTAATAAAGACTTTAGAAAAAAAAAATCATGACTAACAAAAATCCAATTGTAATCTAAAATGTTGACTCTGAAATTGGAGTACACAAACCTGTGCTTCGGAGTTTAGAAGACTTACGTGGCTCAATGGGATTCCTTGTTTGTGGAAAGTGAAATGTACTCTGCATTAACAAGATGAACACTGTATAATCTGCACCCAGCTTTGTTCCCTACAGACTTACCTAAGAAAGGGAGTTGACTGCATCACTGTTGCCAGGGAATGCCATCAGCACAACTGCTGCGCACTCAACTCGTTCTGGCTCTTCTTTAGATGCGACTATGTACCTTAATGCATCTATTCTTTTGCTGCAAACCTTTGGGAGCTTTGTGGATGTATTGAGATAACTGTGCTTGTGTCAATGAACAAATCCAAGTGAGGCTCGGAAAACCTTTGGACTTACAAACAAAAAAGGAGCTGTCTGTCAAAGCAACATGTTTCGCTGTCTGATTGTTAGAGGTCTTTGTACAAGCTGTTAGACGGCGAATTTAAACATCAAAAAGCTCTCATGGACAAGACAACAAAACCTCAAGGAATGAGTGCCTTTGAGTGACGCAATGGCGTTTGGTCATGGCTCAAAGAAGTCAGTTTCATGTGACCAAGGGATAACACCTGCTTCTGCGAACAGTGGGGTCAGTATTGCTAAAACCCTTTAAAAAATCAGTATTATTTTCGTGTGATTATCTTGTATATTTGCTTGACTGCACTTAAAATTATCAAATAACCTGACTTTGCCAAAACCAAAGACCTGGAGGAAAACTGGAGGTAAAGTGAAACTTTTGTCTTTTTTATCAAAATTTCCGCTAAACAAAGAAGATGCAGTCCCATGCCTTTCGTTTCATGGTGGCTTTTTAGGCGTCCTGAATTTAAAAGCCTGCAAGTCTTCTCATTCAATCTCCCTTTCATGTGTTTCGTGACGACTGATGCACACATGAGAGAAAAGCCTCAAAAGGGGAACTCCCTCGTCTCACCATCGAATTCTCATTTCGTGTTTGAAGAATTTGTGCATGTCGACAGGGGAAAGAAAGTACGTCATCCTAGTTATAGTTTTTCTGAGAAGTTCGAAAATGACAAACGGTTGTGAGCAGAAACGCTTATAGCAAACTTCCCTCTTCTCATCATAGTCTCTTTTGTTTCAGTCAGATCCCGCATTTTGAAATAATTGCTTGACTGGCCAATCATTTCAAAAGAAAACAGTATGCTGTATAAAAAATGAACGAAACTGGATACTTAGATCATAAACCTGCGAGGGAAATGCTTGTGGCATGAAATGTTAGAAGTCAGGCTTTCTCTGAAGACTTTTGTCAACAAGTCTTATTGTCAAATTTTTCCACTCTGTAATACATGTCAAACGCTTGATAACTTTAACCCTTTAAACCCTCATCAGAGAAAAAATAGAAATTGTTTTTTTGTTGGAAGTCTTTGTTTGTCCCAAAATATGAACACAATAAACAGAAATAATTTTTTAGCATTTATAATGTATTACTTTGTGATAATTATTGCTGTGTAGTCTTCATTCCGCTGTTATCAGGTAAATCTAATTGTGTTTTGAGCAAAGTTTTAGCATTAAATGATGCAAATGTGTTAGATCATAAACATTTAAAAAAGTGTATGGATCAAATATGATGGATATGGCACAATAGGATTAATAAAAGGTTGATTTATGGCAGGAAATACACTCCAACTTTATATAGCTGTCACAGGTGTTGTGTAGTCATGTGTCACTGTCTACAATAAGCAGCAGCAAACTCGATGCTACGAGCAGGTGACTGACTCATCAACAGCGCCACAACCACTGTTTGAGCTGCTGTTTTAGCCCGGTATTGTGGCGTTCTTTCTACGATTGTGTATGACGGGAAAATGTGGCTTACGGTTTTGAAGTGATAACAAGGCCTTATTGATCTCTCACTCCAATCAGGGGATATAAAAGCATGCAGATAAGAGTTTTTGCTCTTCCATCTAGTTTCTATACCTGCTTATTCCAAGTAGGGTCACAGGGGGATCAAGCCTATCCCAGCCGTCATTGGGCAGAGCACATCCTGGACAGGTCCATATAAAGTCATAAAGTCAAGACAGACAGCTATGCACAACCACTCCTACAATCATGTTGGATTCACTAATTAACCTCACGTGGCTGTTTTTGGAAGGATGGATGAGAAGGCTTTCCTGTCTTTTGTATTTTGTCAAGTAGTGCCTCTAGAGAAATTTTCCAAACAATCACTCCACACTGGTGGTCATCATGATATGTTTGCAGCCAGTGTAATACAGGGTATATATAAGAGGAGGATAATTATTGATAGCTCTGACAATGCAAATGCTGACTCTTTTTAACCCTCCGTGTTGAAGCTTTGCCGCAAACTCTGTTGCAAAACTGAAATTATTCCACACAAATCCAGTTTCTAGCCATAGCTTTATTATTTTTTAGTGAGAAATGAATCATTAAAATGTATATTAGAAAAAATGTAAGTATTAAAAAACATCTTAACACAAAGAGAAAAACACAAACTACCCATGAAGTCTAAAAATTATTATGAAAAAGAATAAACTCAACTTCAGACACTACATTTAAAAAAAAACATGTCTGTTGGTCACTGTGAGTTTTTATTGCTTTCAGCAGGTAGAAGATGCCACACAAAACGTGGCCACAACAACTGGGAGGACAAGGTCCTGCAAGTTTGTTCTTGCCTTCCTCATCGTCGTCATCGTGATCTTTATACTTGCAGGGGCCACTCTAGCCTGGTACTTCCTGGGTGAGCAGTTTGTTTCTTCCTCTTTTGGATTTACACATTTTCAGCCATGTCAAAACGGTCAGTTCTAGTGGCTAAACAAGGGGAACAAATTGAATGTTAGCTGGTTCAAACTACATTTGTGTTTTTACCAGAAAGAAAAGAAATAACAGGATCAGAACCAGGATTTATGGTGTTGTACACAATGACAGATTTTCACATGCAAAGAATTTGACCTGCATATGGTGCAGACTTCACCACATAAAATGTATAAAAAACTTAGGTTTAAGAAGTATAGAGAAATTGAAAAGTGAAGTTCCAGTGTGACGATAAAGACTGAGGGTAAAGAACAATGAACACTGCAGGCAAAGACTCAGTTGCTGGTATCTCTCTTAACTTAATCAAATTAAGCTAGATCAGGTTGAGATTATTTTTCTGTCAGCCACAGCAGACTTCTGTATCATAAAAAACTGATTGGTTGCTAATTCTGTGAGTTTTGGATCATTTTCCATCTTTAATATTAAGGGGCAGTTATAACTCTGCTGCATGTGACTGAGCAGAACTTATATTCCTGCACACTGGAATTGTGCAGCTGCCTCTACATTCTGTTTCATCATCAAGAAACATGTGTGTAGTTATTACAGGCAACACTTTCTATATTCATCCCAGTTTATAACAGATGATGTTTTGTCTTTCAGCTCGTAAACTGTTTGATGCTTTAATCTCTACTTTTGTAATTATTTTGGTGAAGATTGTTCTTTGAATAGCATGGGAAAAGAAAGATGGTCCAGAATAAACTTTTTTATTCTCGATCTTTCTGAATTTGCATATGATGAGTCTTGATGTGGACTTGAAAAAATGCTTTGGTAACTCCAAGAACAATTTTGTCACTCCTAAGACTCTCAGTGTGTTTGTATCTCACACATGCTTTTTATGTTTGCTATCCTTTTAATACAGAATAGGAACATATTTTATTGAATGATGTTTGTTTGCTTGATGATTTTTTGTTTAAATTCAGCCAAAATTGCCAATATTGTATGATTGTATGTTATGTATCCTTTCAGTGGTTTTTACAATGTCTTGTTTTCATCTCTTTATCTTTGACAGAGTACAGGGTCTGGGGGTTAGAGCCTCGTGCTCAGCAACAGTACACAGCTTACCTAACAATCCTCAACAGGCCCTTCTCCCCAGACATGTCCTCTCACAACAGTCCTGTGTTCAAGAAAGAAGCTAATGGAGTACAGAACATGGTAAGAAGGAAATACTCATTTTGATATGAACATTAATAACCTTACATATGTAATATAAGAAGAAACTTAAAAAGATAATGGGTTTTGCAAGGTTTCTAGAACTGGAATAGTCATGAACTGACAAAATTTTTCTGATATTGCACAGAGGATGCTATTCAGATCAGTTCAAATCAAGAGTAATCTAGGCTTTTATGCCTTTATGGCTCAAAAGTCTCTAAGCCCATCTGACTTCATAGATGGGTAAAGTTATGTGTTTTTTGCATAACAGTATAAAATAGGTCTTGTGTTATTAGATTAAGAGAAGTTTGATATCCAACTTGTACCTAAATGTTGTGACTTGAGCATAATTTGTCTCTGTCTTTCAGGTAAAGAAGATCATGAGAGCCTCCTGCCTTTCTCGATACTTTAACTATACCACTGTGTTTGCATTTGGGTATGAGGACTAAATTGTTATTCGAACAAAACAGTAGTAATAACAAAAACTGGAGTGACAGAATTAGCGCGTAACTCCAGAAACAAGTCTCCAAACAGAACACACTTTGGACCACCACAAAGTTTTGAGCAAAGTAAATTCAACTGCTGCGTTTTTGATCTTGGCCTCATTTTGTGACTTTGTTCTGCAGAGAGGGGAGTGTAGTGGCTCACTTTTGGATAATGCTGGCTGTGCCCGACAGTCATGTTGGGAGAGTTACATTGGAGAAGGTCAACAGCAGCCTGGAGACTGGCCTGAGGGCGTACAGCGGATCAGAAATGGAAGAAACAGCCAGCGTGGATGGCTATGTGTTGCATCTCCCAACAATGTCTGTCACTGGTGAGAAAGAGAGCATGCAAAGTGGAAACACTTTCCACAAACAGATTCAATGTCTAATTTATTTCTGTTTTCATGTGCTTGCTCTTGTTTTGCTCCCTACAGAAACGGAACCTAAAGTTATAGAACTTTTGCAAGCTTCCTTTGGTATTATGACATTTTTTATTATCCTTTTAACGATGTCTGCTCAGTTAATTTATTACAATCGACAAGCATGCAATTAACTTTAATATAAAAAGGAATGCACAGAGAGCATGAGCACTAACAAACAAGAGGAAATTGTGGGAAACGTTCAAACAAATTGTTCAATCAGATTTGTTTTTAATTGACAGATTGAGAGATTTCTGAATAAATCATTTCAAATTGAGCTACAATATTTTTATGAGAAATGTCTTTGTAAAAGTGAGTGAAAGAGTTTATATTTATGCAAAGGTTCGATATAACAGCCATAAAAGGCTATGGTGCGCAGCCCATCAACAAAAATGGACAGATCAGATCTGCCATGGAAACAGTGACATCAAAAGGAAATCTCCTCAAGCTGTCTCAATGCGATCAAGTCTGAAATACTGGTTAGGGGATTAGATAATGCTATTGTTGACATCATCAGCTTGGCTAATAGAATACTTATATACTGAATGACTTTATGACTGCATAACTTGCCACCAAATTGAGGTTACATGCCAGGTGAAAACATTGATTCAGACGTTCAAAATCACTATCAATACTAACATTTCAGATTTATAAAATTGGAAATTTCTTGTTGAGCTGGCCTAAGAACAAAAAAAAAAGAAAATAATACTTCAACAAAAAGAATAGCTCAGATTGAATTCTAATTTCTGGCTGGTTTCCCCTAAGATTGTTATCGCTATCAGAAGGTGGTGTCCAGTAGTCCAGTGGCTCTGCAGGGCCCCAACACGCAGCGCTCCTCCTGCTTGTGGCACCTGCAGGCCCCTCCTGGCTCCCTGCTGGAGCTCCACATGGAATGGCTGCTGCCCGAGTGCAGAGATAGGCTGGTGGTGTACAACTCCCTCACACCCTCTGATGATCATCTCATCACATCGTGAGTTTCTTCACAAACACCGGAATAAGTGAAAATATTCTAATCGTATTGTTGAGACGTCCAGCATAGGCCTATGTGATATTCAACCTGACATGTTGGCTAGAGTGACAATTTTTCTGTGTGCTTAGTGGCTGAATCACAGCATTTTTTAAATATCAGGGCTCTTTGGGGCACAGATATTTTTTGGACAGTATGTCATTATGGACAAACACAATCAAATACCGCATAGATTAGCTGGGATTAATCAAGTTTTGTTTTAAGGGCTGCATGTCACTGCTCAAGAAATTCTTATACTCTTAAACTGCATGATGGATGCAGTGGTAACAATTTCCCTGCTGATTTAACCTTTTCCTGTGTTCATGAAGTGTTTATGGCTGCAACAGACACGAACCCATAGTACGTGTCCTTTCCTCAAGCGAGTGGATGACAGTGGTTTGGAAACAGGGTCTTTACAATTACAAGGACCCCTTTTCTTTGTCTGCTCAAGCCTGGGCCCACCAAGGTAAGAGCGGCAAAACACCTAAGACTTTTCTCTGGTTTTCAAATGTGTTCTGCAACAAATAACAATGAAATTTCAGTGTGTCAAAGAAAAGAAGGTTTTCATAAACTTTCATGATGCCATGGTTTGGATTCTTTCAGCATCCCCTCAATGATTGAAGCTCATCTTGGCCACTTTCAATGACCAAACTGTTGTCCGTTTTGTTTTTTCATATTCATAATTGCTTTTTATCAATGCTGTTTATCAAAATTTATCAATTTTATTATATGTCACTGTGACACACCGTATGTTTTTCTGAAGAAGATGCTGTATCAATCAACATCACTTGCTAAATTTTCCATGACTCCTGTGAGTTCTCAAACGGTATATCGAAGTCGCTATTAATAATTAAAGATATCAAAATGGATTGACTGATATATGCGAATTAACCAAGAGTGTGACTTTTTCTTTCACAGGCTGTAATTCTTCTATACAACTGAAGGCAGTACCAGGGATCCAGGGGACATTAAGGACACCTTTCTTTCCCAGCTACTACCCTCCAAACACCAATTGCACCTGGAGTTTTACAGTAAAATCTCATTTAATCCTATAGAATGTGATGATACAGTCATTTGGTAAATATATGAATAACTTTTTGCACTTGTTAATCTGTATGTTATTTCAGATGCCCAGTACTGGGATGGGTTTGACTCTGGAGTTCGAGGGTTATGAGCTGGGCAGAGCCAGTTTTAGCCAGGCATGTACACAAGGACAGTGGATAATTCAGAACCGCAGGTGTGTAACGATGAAACTAGCTGGTCTGTGATTTGTCGCTGTTGTGTATGTGTACTTTACTAGCTAATCTATTCCACGGTTCTTGAAACAATAAAAAGATGAGGAAAAAACTAACAAATGTGAATTTGCAAAAGTAACTCACTTTGAGGTTCTGTTGTGAAAGCAAACTTCTCTTTTCCATGACAGAAAAAGATATATTTTTTTCTCAGAAACAGCCAAGGCTAAACACTTTTGGAATTTTTTTTTTGTTTGGTGTGCGCAGCTGCTAAGCCAAAAATATACAGACATTTTAGCTTGAGCTCAACTTCTGCTTCTGTATTCCTTCCTTTCAGACACCACATGCAGCTGGTAATGGAAAAATTAGACGTACATAACAGACCTTAAAAGTTCAAACCAAATAATAAAAAAATCTAAAGAAAAGACATTGAGCCATTTACCTGCAAAAATTAACAAAGTAATACATTTTGTGTTTGAAAATCCATCAAAACCCACGCCAATTGTTTTTATTTAGAGTGAGATAATTAACCTTGAAATTTTCATCTCCAGTGTAATCCTAAATTAATTTGTGAGGGAATCTGTCACCCTGGGCCTTTAAAGCCGGGGGTGTATCGCAGCCTCTGTGTCACTGGGCTACACGGAGAGAACCTTGCACATTTCCACTTAATGTAAAGTTTGGAAAACAAAAAGTTGGTTTTCGTTTGGACTTCTGTTTAGACTATGATAGCTTTAGGTTACTTTTAAAATAGGCAAAATAACATAAATCTGTCAAACTGCAGGGTGAAACGATCAGGTTCAGATGCTCACATGAGCTTACCCTGAATTGAACACCAGGAGGCAGCATTGGTTAATTTAAGCAACCTGCCTCTTTTCACTGCCATTTTAGTTTCACTGTAAAAATTCAAAGTTGTTTATGTTTAGAATGAAAATAAAAATTGATTCATGATTCTTAGTTATACACATTTTTTATTGTTGTATCACACAAGCTGAGAGTCTGGAGCCTAAGTCATTTGAATGATCAAAGCCCTCACATTCATGGGCTTCCATCACAGCCCCCTCTCATGTGACTCATGCCAACAATATATTCTGAGTTTAATTTTCTTTCCCTTCTCCTTAGACTGTGTGGTATCAGGGGTCTGCAGCCGTACAGCGAACGCATCTTCCTGACCTCCGTGACAACGACTGTTGTCATGACGTCGGCGGTGTCCCTCACAGGGCCGGGCCTTCAGCTGCACTACAGCATCTTCAACCTGTCAGACCGTGAGTAAAGGCAGGAGAGACACCAACAACAACTAGTTAAAAGCCCAAATCCGGGCATGCGTTTCAAGGATAATTTTTCAATGTGTTTGTTTGTGTGTGTCTTGTGAAGCTTGCCCGGGGCAGTTCCTGTGCACTGTGAACGGGCTTTGTGTTCCTATCTGTGATGGGATCAAAGACTGTCCCAATGGACTTGACGAGAGGAACTGTGGTATACATACACACATGCATCATTTGATTGGCATCACTGCTTTTAGAAATGCGGTATTTAACAAAGTAAAATGTAAAAAAAAAAATTAAACTAGAGCGATCAGAGTGATGCTCAGTTCAAGTTAAATCTTTACACCCCCACCACTTATGACAATTCATGCTATTTAAAGATGTCAGATGTATATGATAAGCAGAATAAAGATTGGATTGTTCAAGCAAAACAAAGACAATGTGCTTTTATCTCTCTCATGAAAATAGGCTTATAATCAGAGGGTAATGTTGATGTGATCTGACCCTCTTCACATCTCTGAATCCACTGGGATGGCAGAGAGTGCACACCAATAGACTCCTGATATGTGGCTGCTTGTCACAGGGCTGTTCTTGGTTTTAATACGGTCAAGTTAACTTTAATTAGATACTATTTAAGGAGAATCACTGGGACTCCTATGCTATGTCTGTATAGATGTAAAATATGGCAAAATGTACTTTCAATTTTGTGGAAGATCATATCCGTTGTAATGAAACTGTAAAACATCCCACTTTCAAATTCACACCAAGACCTAATTCTTTAGCCAACCACCGCATACAAATGAACCTACAGACACACAATCTAGCTGATACAAATGTCTCATCCTGTCTATTTCAGTGTGCGTGGCACAGTATACGTGCCCGGAAGACAGCAAGTGTGTGGACTACTACAAACTATGTGACCAATACCCAGACTGCCCTGAGGCCTCAGATGAGATGAACTGCACTGATGGTAACACATTAGTAAATGCACATGTGCACACACGTACTCACACTTTCAGGTTGCATAGCCTTCAGCAAATTTCTCACTGATTCTAATCTTAACTCGGTAGGGTGTCTCTTAAAGTCCTGAACAAGCACAATTTACGGCTTTAAGTGCGTGTGTGTGTGCAGGTGTGCAGTGTACTGATATGACCTACATGTGTACTGATGGGACATGTCTCAAGAAGCCAAACCCCGAATGTGACTACACCACCGACTGCCCTGATGCCTCAGATGAGAAACAGTGTGGTGAGATTTTATTTACACATTCTTGCAACTCATTTACATGTTTGATCACAACTCTGATGTATGAAGTTGGCATAACACTGAAATGAAGAAAATCACTTTTCACCTATCTTGGCCTCTTCATTAAGGCATTGTTTCAAGTGTAAAATATAAGATATAAAGCACCTTTGAAACATTTTTTTTAGATACAACAATTCACACATGCTGTTTCACGTTTTAAACACTGTGCCTCAATTTAAACCTGTGAGTTCAGACTGTGGCCTGAGACAGTTCTCCAGTCGAATCGTTGGGGGTACGGACGCCTCAGAAGGAGAGTGGCCGTGGCAGGCGAGCTTGCAAGTGCGGGGTACCCACATTTGTGGGGGGGCCTTAATCTCCAGTCAGTGGGTGGTGTCTGCTGCCCACTGTTTCTATGATGACAGGTAAGCACAGGAAGCAAGGAGGAGGGATTATAGGAGCATAGCGGAGGAACATTTTTATTCTTTCCTCAGGAACAGTTTTCATAAATCTGTACTGTTCGTGGTCTTTTCAGTTCAGGGTTTAACCTTGACAACAGCCGGGGCCGGTGTACTTATGTGTTGGTCTGCCCTTGTGTGTCAAATACAGCACCAGTTGACTGGACTGTGGCCAAAACCATTGCTGTAACATCCTGTTGAGGATTAACAGTAGTTCCCTTGATTATTTTGTATAGTGATTAAAAGCTTTTGCAGAATTCATTAAATTGATAGGATGAAAGAATGCAGCGTATTATGTATATATAAACCCTTGCACAGATATTTGTAACCAACAGCCTGAACTGAGATTTGAGTATAACTTGGAAGGCAAAATATTTAATGCATTATTGTGATACGTCTTTTCCATCTGCCCCTGCTGCAGTCTCTATTCCCCTTCAGTGTGGACAGTCTATCTTAGTAAACTGCTGCTCAATAAAAGCAGCTCCATAGAAGAAGTGGTGAGAGTTAAGCGCATCCATCTTCATCACTACTATGATGACGAGACCCACGACTATGACGTGGCCCTGCTAAAGCTGGACCGGTCGGCCATCGCACTGCGGGCTGGACATGCTCGACCTGCCTGCCTGCCACCGCCCACCCACCAGCTGGAGCCCGACCTGCTCTGCTGGGTCACTGGTTGGGGAGCTCTGCATGAAGGAGGTGAGCTTGGAGAAGGTTCAGGGGTCAAAAGAGGACAGCACATGAAATATTTGGCATGGAAACACTGTGTCTGGTACATAGTGGGTGTTTAATAGTTAAATCAGAATAGTTTTAACCTGCCAAGATGGCTTTCAACTCCAAAAGTGAAAACATCTGAAATATAACTTCAAGTAGCCTCCAAGTGTTGGAGCCTTTGTGCTGTTTTACACACATTATATTGTTGATGAGCATCATAGATTCATCTTGAAAATGTACTTTGTGTATCGTCTCTTGTAAGGAAAGGTTGAAAGAAGGAAATTATTCTTTCTCCTCCAGGCCGTGCCAGTAATATTCTTCAGAAGGTGGACGTTCGCCTGGTCAGTGAAGAAGATTGCGTTCGCTCTTACGGCCACTTGGTTACTCCCAGAATGCTTTGTGCTGGTTATCGTAGCGGAGGGAAAGATGCCTGTCAGGTACAGAGAAACACGTAAACGCATCGACAAACAATGTATGACGCATGTTGTTGTCCACTTTAAATGTGTTTATTAAAGCCAAGCAGTGTGTCATATCGATCAAGAGGACAGAAGAAAAGTATGATCGCAAGCTAAAAAAAAAGTATATGTAAAAAAATTAAATAGGTGTGATGAAAATGAGAGAAAATCTTCCCTGGTGTTCAGTATGTCACACTGATGATGTGAGCTTTCCATAAACGAGCCATAAAATATGATCTAAGTGGCATCATGAGTGAGTCACTGATAATAATTACAGGTTTTGTCAATGATTACACATGCTTTGTGCCTTGGAGAAGTTAGACTCCCGTTCACTTCTTAATGGATATTGTTTTTCTCAGGGGGACTCTGGAGGCCCTTTGGTGTGTCAGGAACCATCGGGTCGTTGGTTTTTGGCTGGGGTGGTGAGCTGGGGCAAAGGCTGTGCACGAGCAGACTACTACGGCGTCTACACTCGCATCACGAGACTGACGGACTGGATTAACCGGATCATCAGCGTCCCCTGAGTCACTGAGGTTCTTCATCATTCAAATCAATGTTATTTAAACCTTGAATGCAACTTAAATGGGAAGAGAGACAATTCAAGATGCTTTTCATCCAGCAGCTAATAATAAAGGAATAAAGCTTGTATCATTTTTTATGTACCACTTCTAATATGGAATGTTACCAGCATAAAACAATCATTTTCCACGTGTTTATTGTTTATGTTTAAATTGTTACTCTTAAGAACCCAGGACGCAGAGTTTGTCACAGTGTTGCAACAAAAAATCAACTCCCTCACGTGTCCTTTTTTATTGACTTTGGGAAAATGTCCGCTGGGCTTTTAATTATTTAATATACTACAGACTACCAGTTTGCCAGGGAAATTTGACTAAAACACCTTTTTTTGTTGAGTGTTTATTCATGCCAAAGATATCATACCTGTATGCAACACACACAAAGTTCTCTCTCTATAATCCCAATAGTATCAGAAGTATAAAACAAGTGGACAGTTCAGCTTAGCATATTCAACTCTATCCCTTAGGAAATGTTGTCAGCGTAGTCAAAAGCTCCAAAAAGTACATCATCTGCACAGTTCATGGACCAGTGAGCAAAACCTCCCTCTCTCTGAAATAGATGCAGCTGCAGCTTGGGACTTCACGCTTTGACATCTGATTTCATAAGATAGAATGCAAGTTTCAGGTGCACTTTCCCTCTTTCAAAAGCTAATATTGTTTTTTAAACTAGTTTTGGGAGTCTTTGAGTCCCCAAATTCTATAAAGTTGATTTTTATGTGCTTACCGCATATTGTGAGCAGCAGTCCGTGTACCCAAAGGTGTGGGCAGCAGGAGCCCCCGTTGGCATTCTTCGCTGTGTGTGGGTGCTTATGAGTCTTTGAGATTACCAGACTGAAATGAATGGAGTCTGAAGTCCTGATGCAATGGTGTCATGGTCCTCACTGGTATGATGTTTCTGCTAAATATAACATGGTTTGTTTGTTCTTCTGTGTAATAGGCTGTGCTAGATTCAGCCTTAACTTGGTGGAATTATTCTATATCATAGGGATATCATTTAACCACTGAAACATTAAGATCTATTTTTGTAAATGATTTCTCATTAGACACAGACAACTACATATGTACAATTTTTATGTTAGAAAAACAAATTATAAGCAACATTAATCCCTGTATATTGCAGTCATTCTAGAAGATATTCTACTGTGGTGGTGTAAGAAGTGGTGTAAGAATACCTTGTGACTCAGGTGGGACTTGAACCCACAATCCCTATCTGGCTGATTAGGTCTCTGGGCCTCGACACTTTTGGGCTTTTGCCACCCCCAACCAACAAAACTTCATACAGTAAGACATGAGCAACCCACTTCAGTTTTCCCCTCATGCTCTAACATAACATATTACATATGGATAAAAGAGAAGATGGTGGAGATTCAGAGTACATTCAGGCTTTCTCATTAAATTGAATACTACATTACAGTTTGAAAAAGTGTGTTCATAGCTGATAACCAGAGATAACTTACTGTCTGACAACTAAATGCATTCTATTTACCCAAAAAAGGTTGATTTAATGCATCATTTAATATCTCCACAAAACTTGCTGAACTGACACACAGGGTGTGACAGGGTATAAGTGGTGGCTCAGCAAACAAGATTCATAAATAGATTTTTCACAGTTACAGAAGAACTGAGTACATGCCGCAGTAGCAGGCAGTAAAAGATTGCATTTTCCAGCTCCCTCATAATCACAAAAACCACAGGCACGGGCCCATGATAGGAAGTGACTCTGACAAAGGTTACTAAATAATGAGGATTTGTTGATGTGACGGTCAACAATGAATGTTTTTGGTTTCTTAAAAATGAGCTATTGCAGTATCATTATAAATGTTATTGTCCCAATGACAATGGAGGGAAATTCAGGATTTCCAGATAAATTTAACAACCTTACGATTACTCACAGCTCTCAGAACAAAGAATTCACTGGTTTTATGTGGTTATGAACTCTTACTAATCACAAAAATGTATATCTTCAGCTTTTAGGTATGTGTTAGTGAGTGAAAATAGACAACTGTTGTATCAAGAGATATTGATAATCACCATGAGAAACATGAGATCATCGGCCAAAACCATGGTTTAATTAATCAAATTATGTACAGACCATAAGAACTGTCAGCAGCCACTTTCAGGCTCTTAGGGGTCCAGGGCATTCAGTTGTGATGAACTTTGCCTCTAGAGGTCACTATATACTACAAACAGCCACAATAAGTGTAAACACTGAGAGGCCCCTCACTAAAACTGCCACTAAAATTGCAGCATATCACCATAACTGTGTTTAGTTTGGAGGTTTATGACGTTTAAAAGGAAGGAAATGTCATGTAAAGTGCACTTCTGCTTTCTAAAGTTTTTAAAGTGCTCTTTTTGCAGCACAGTCTTTTTTCTACTCTGTTGGTTGATTTTTATTTTTCTTCAGGTTGATATAAGTTTACCGGACTCTGTCCCTCTGTTCATGCAAATTTACAAATTGACAGAGATGTATGCCGAGAGCAAGTGAGTTCACAGTTTGACCGTTTGCTAACGCAGGATGTATAAGTCTCTAGAAGTTACAACAGTCTGTAAAAACAAACGGACCAAGTGACATAAAAACCTCATTGGTAGGGCGGGTAAACAGCAGCCTACAGGTCTAACCCTGTCTGGGCTTATAAATGTTAACAGACCTTCACAAAACTGACAAGAGTATAACTCCAGTCATGAGATGTATTTCAGTTTAATTATTTTCTTTAAATCATCATAACTCTTATGAGCTTTGCTAAAAATGGTTAATGTAACACATTTAGTTTGGAGAAATGGAGCAAGAAATAACTTTCAATGACAAGGACTTGTCTTCTTGATTTAAAATTGTAACTTTTAACATGATATTATGTTACTAATGAAAATCTATTCAAAAGAAATACATTGATAAACAAAGGAGTCATATATTCATTGTTGGAAGATGTTTTGACAACAATAGCTTTCACGCCATGACCTGGTTTAGCTGTGATATTTGCAACAGGGCTGATTTGGTTTTGGTTTAACTACCTTTAACAGCAGCAACAGAAAAGACACTTTTTACAATCACGTTTTTTGTAAATCTATTTTTCTTCTTCCCTCTATCTCTCAATTTCTCCCCAGGGCTCCTCTCCTTCAGTGACTCTTGAGCAGCTTGCTTTTGCTGTGGTTCAGATTTATCTTGGGAGTTATGGTTAGACTGGTTGAGAAGGAAGACGTGGGAGGAGGGTGTTTAAAGTGCACACAGGATCAGCAGGAAACATTAAGGGTTAGGGACTAGAAAAAGTTTGTGAAGAATGTTTGTAAGAACTTTGTAAAGATAGATAAATAGGGACAGAAGCATGCTTTTCCATATACTTTGTGCAAGTTAATGCATAGATGAAATGCTGCTCCCGTGTTTTCTTATCCTTGAACTCTTCTACAGTTTATGTACTAAGAGAAGACCACAACAAATAAACACAAAGTAGGTTTTAAAACAAGACAGTCCATCACAGGTACACACAGATACAAACAACCACACACACAAAAACCTTTAGAAAAACTAAATCAAAAACAACATTTTCTATTTTTGATAGTGTTTTGATGTCTTGATCTTAAAACAGATACTCATACACATCTAAATGTTCAAACTGAAATGGGCCCACTTCTAATGTTTATGTCTCCGTCAGAAACCATGCAAGTTCAAGGACACAGTCAGACAAGTAAATTAGGAAATCAAGAACATCTTAAATCCACAAAAGGAATACCAGGAACATATGGAACAGTTGGAACACATTTGCCCTTCTGAGCATGGACAGGAAAGCTGAAACGAAAATCCCAAAACCTAGAAAAGCTGTCGCACTTCCTTCAGATGCAATTATGCAAAAGTCTAACAAAAGTTTGTGCAACTGACACAAAAAGATAATCCATTAGTTTTTTTCAGAGATGCCAGTTTTTTATTGCATCCCAGACAGTGAGAACAAGAAAACAGCATTCTTGAAATGAATGCCTTTGGGAACTGTTCCGAGGGGTGGACCTGTCATATTCAAGTTGTGTTGTCATGAGAACTCTCCAAACCACAAAGATCTGTCACGTGATATGTTCGTAATAGTAAATGAAGAACAACTTGGAAAACAATGAATAATATATGAACTTGGGAAATCTGCATAAAATTGTTGAGCAAAATTCTTACAGTTTTATTTCATGTTGTGTTTTTTTGTCTTATTTATGCTCCATTATAATTGGTGTCTCAGGTCGATGTGACTGAATGTTAGGGAACCGTCAGCAATTTATGATTTATCGAATTCAGTGAAGTCAGTTTCTGTGAAACCCACTCCTTAAACCAACAAAACACCTTTGCCTTTCAAAAGGGATTGATGGTTCAAAAGGAGACACAAACATGATCAGCTCCCCTGGTCGCTCCATCCATCTGTTACATTCTCACTTACACAGAATGTCTCCACAGATTGCACCCTAAGACACCACACAGAGTTGGGAATTGATACAACTGGAACATTTTCAAAGGAGAAAAAATAAAAGAGCAGCTTAGCAACTATGTAAAGACAAGATAAGGTCATAAAGATATAGAAAGTTTTATACACAGGCAAAGAAAATTAATATTTTCTGGGATGTAGAGTCATGTGGGCAAACATGTACTCCTTCAACAGCAGACTTTGCTGTATTATTTCAATAAAGTGAATTTGTCTCTACAATGATTTCCCTACCGCCTAAAACCTCCACATGATCTTAAAAATATCATAAAAGTTAAGGTGGACAAGCTTTCTTCATGATTTTTGATGTAACTGCATGGATTTATTAACTAAATTATCTCATTCCCATCAAGATAACAAGGTAATGTATTATTAACAACTTTGGCTTCCCCCCAATGTCCAAAAACCTCCACATTAGGTGGATTGGACATTCCAAATTGCCCTTAGGAGTGAGTGGTAGTGTGCGTTGTTCGTTGTTTGTCTTTGTGTGTCTCTGTGTGGCCCTGCGATGGACTGGCGGACCGTCCAGGGTGTACCCTGCCTCCCGCCCATTGAATACTGGGATAGGCTACAATCCTTCATTTGCCCCCATTTGGGAATATACTATGGATGGATGGATGGATGGATTATTAACATATGAACATATTAATATATGAACAATTATTAGACCAGCTTAGTCTTCATTGGAGTTGGAGATCGTGAATGATTACAGACTGCTCGGAAAATCTAATAACCCCGTTTGCACAACTGAAACTGTAGTGTCAGTGCATAGGCCTAAGCCACCACAGGAAAAGACTTATCTTAATTCAAGACTTGACACACATGAAAAACCCCAGCTGCGGCCATGTCATGAAACATTCTGATCCTGCAGTTACATACAGGCGCACATGCTGCAGCTGGAAAAACAGGACTGGATGGAGCCCTGGGGGGAATTTGGAGCATATGGAGACCAAATCACTGAGCAACAATGGCGGAAAACTTAAATGAAAATTTCAAGTAAATTCTGCCCCCAAAACTGTCTTGTTTTAACAAAATGATGTCAAACTACTATGAAAATGTTTAGATTTTCAGTTTATGCTATGACCTGCTTTGGCTAATCTGAAGTTTATGAGGTATTTAACTTTTCTTAGCAAATCAACAGGCCCGCTTTAAAGCAACAAACCCCAAGCAGGGTTAGTCATTGTACTCATGATTATGCGTTGATGTCATTTTAAATCAACGCCAATAAGGACATCTCACACATGAGATCATCATTGAAGTTTAGAAAAATTGTTAATAATTTCTTTTAGAATGTGAAGCATTTACCCAAGTTTGAATAACTGACTGGTTAGTTTTGGTTAGAATCTACAGTATAAAATTTGAGTTTTGAATGCCTGCACTAAATGTTTTTTCCTATAAAACACTTTTTAAAAAAAGGCCTTAAAAATCTTTTTCGATAAATTGTCAGAAAGTAAAAAGTATTTTACCGACCCGCTGTTGTATGTTCATTTCATATTTAGTTTGAGCCACCGCTTTAGACCTAATCATCGACATCCGGTTGTGTAAAGTACAGAAGTTTGTCTATCAATTCACCTAACCGAAAGCCTTCAGCAGGAGAATCACTTTCAACAGTCTTTCCTCCTGAGTCATGCAGTCACTTAATTTCATATGTCTGCAGTATTGTGTTTTACAGCTTAGCTGAAGGCTGTGTCTGGGTTTCTGTCTGTTTACACAGTCCCCTCTAAGGGCCTACCTGTTGTTGAGAGAAATGTCAGTCAATATTACGCTTTGTGAGGATAAAATGTGCTATGGGGGCAGAGGCTGCTCATGAGCCACATTGGACTCCTGTGTGACATTACAGACTATGACACGGCTGGCTTTTGGATATGTGATCTTGCTTGGCTGATGGTAGCAATACTCTTTCATTTTGCCCCTTAGAAAAAAGAGTCACTCTGACTGTTGATTGGCGAAATCCAAACACTCGCTTCATTTTCAGAAACTGACAACAAAATCCCCAGACCATGCAGTGAGTGTTTAGGTCTGCTGGTTTCTCCACACTAAGCCAAATCCTTTCCCATCAAGGGTACAACTTCATCTTTATTGCTTTGTTAAGACATTTTGTTGTTCTTACATAGAATTCCTTTATTCTCGTCTCGCCGTCAACCCTAAGGTGACTGGTTGACTTCCCTTGGGATGAAAGGAAAAAGAACAAGCTGAAGAAATCCAAATTCCTGGTAAGAGAAGTTGAGTGTGTATGTGTGTATGATAGATGGCCCTGGAAAGACGAAAAAAGGTGAACAGCAGAAGTAGGCCACATGCATATCTGGATGTCACTGGACACATAAACACACAATGATATATGATATTAGATGATATGATGTGCTTTTCATAGAATAGAAGAGAGATCAGAACAGTAGTTTGATTATGTTAAAAGCTCATGCCATCATCACAGAGTGTGTTAGCTGCTGGGGGACATAAACATTCAAAAATCCTCTCGTGCTGCAGGAATCCAAAGAGGCAGCTGGTTGGTTAAGTTTTGCTACAAATGATCTTTACGAGGCATTACGTGGTGCACTTAGTGCATAATTAACTATTTTTGTCACCACAGCCTCCCCTTGTATGTTTCCATCAGTGAGAATAATGGGGATTAAGTGGCCTCAGGCCAGGGTCACAGAAGTGTGTCTTTGTTCCAGGTTGACTTTGATTACATAAGTCTGCTGGGTGTTTTGTCTCAGTTGGCCTTAAATCAACATATCCCCAGGAAGCAGCCTATTTTCAGCTGAGCGCTGTTGTTTTATTGTCTGCCATCACATTGCCTTTTAACCGCTTCTGAAAAGACATCAAATGATTGTCTAGCAACTTGTGACCGAATCATAAACATGTGACCTGGATCTTAAAGCTTTGTAGTATGAGCTGTGTTTTTGAGGATGCCGTCTTATTAATTCTGAAAATAGTCATTATATTAATGTGTGAATTTTAAACGGCAAACTACAACAAATCAAGTTGATGCTTTGAGTATTTTTGGCATAAAATTATTTAATGGAACCCCCTAAGGTCTCTGTGTTAGAATGGATTGATTTCTTTTCATGTACACCCACTTCTAGGTGTAGAAAGAAAAAGATCTCTATCAGTTTCATTATGTAATCTTAGACCTTTAGAAATTAGATCTTTAAAAACTTTTTTTTAGCTCACTGTAGATCCGCATACATGTTGATGATGGACAAAACCAGCTCCACAAAGCAAATGACCCCATATTCTATTTCTCTTGTAAATTTCATACAAATGTAGTAAAGCAACAGGAGCATCCTAGTCTGAAAACTCAAGTCAAGCTGGGAAGGATTCCTTGAGGAGATGCTATCATAATGGTAGCCATAAATAAAAAACACTTCAGGCATGATTTTTAATCTTAAAGATGGAGGTCTGAAACAGGCCTTAAACCAAAAGGTAAAAAGGTGAAAACGCATGTTTAAGATAGTCAAACTATTTAAAATGTACTGATAAAAGGACAAATGAATCCTGCGATACATTTAGAGTTCAGCTAGATTTAAAATCTTGGCTGGGGTTTGCTTCTGAAATTGATATTCTCTGCTGCCCTCAGGTGTTCTGCGAGAGCGTGAAGTGAATTGTGATAAAATGATAACTCACAGTGTGAGTGTATTTCTCTTCTACAAATTTTTTTCACTCCAATTTTCCAGATGCAAATATGTAAGACTGACAATGTGTGCAGGGGTGGGGGCCATTGGCTGAGCAAATGGAGTGCTGGGCAACTAGGATGACCAGTGAATGCTGAAATACGGGCCTCATCTGGATCACAAATCAACAGTTTGAGTGATATCTGAGATCTGCCTGGTGGAGTTCGATCGACACTAAAGCTGGTTTATGCGCAGAGATGCTGAGAATGGGATGATTGTGACTTGCAGAGCAGAGTTATTAGGAATACATAAGTGGACATTCATGTCAAATGAGCTGCAGTCCTGAAGCTGGCACAGGAAAGAAAAAAATATGGACAGAGGAGGGAAAGGGAGGAGTATAGTGACCTATATTTCTATTAGGCGAGTTGCAATCCCCTATACACCCCTCTCAGCTCCCTGTGCAGGGAAGTTTAAATGACTTCAGTGGGAGTGATGGATGAGCAGTTTCAGTGGAGAAGCACAGGGGGAGAGAATATTATCACAGGGGAGAAAGACTGACTTGTGATGCTGTTTCATGATGGAGGGAGTAAACCCTGTGTCCTGGGCGAGTGTTATAGGCAGAGCGGGAGGGAGAGCGTGTGGGGGGAGTTAGAGACTGGTTTCCTCTCAGTTGTTCCACTTCGCAATCTGACAGCAGCACTCTGTTTTTTTCCTCCACGAGTGCGGTGAAAATCCCCCCCCAGGTAAGAGACGCGACTTCACACTCTGACACGATGTGACAGCGACTTTACAACGGTCGGTTTCGACGCGACCCCTTGCATGATAATTCACCTAGGAGAGAAAAAAGGGGAGAGAAAAAGAAATATATAAAAGGGAAAAAGAGGGAGGAAGAAGTTTAAGGAGCAGCTGGCGGCGCGGCTGAGAGCTTGCAGAGACGTGCAGGATTATAGAAGTTATTCAGAAGTTGCCAACTCAGCAGTACTTTTTTCTGTCCCTTTTTTTTTCCATTTAATTCAAGAGTCACTGGTACAGTAACACTCTGGCGCGCGTTCTCACGCGCAGGCTCACTGCCCGGCTTTGTGTGTGTGTGTGTGTGTGAGTGTGTGTGTGTGAGTGTGTGTAGCTGAGTGGGTTATCCGGAGTGCAGCTGCGTGCCAAATTGATGCTCTGGCGCTGTTGACGTGGCTTCTTAAATGAACCTATTGTGACCGCTGGATGTGCGTTAGAAGAGTGTGTTGTGCTCATTAGGCTGCTGTTTGTCATGATTTTGTTGTGGAAGTTGTGGACACGCCTGTGAGAGGGATAGAGGGGGTCCCTGCCTGATGGCTCGAGGGTCTGGGCAGGGGGAGATTGGGGGGGGGATGTTGAGAAAAATGACTACATGATGGAACAGATTGTTCCTGCAGAGAAGAGGTGTGAGGATGTTGAGTCACTTGGAAAGTGTGTAACTTTTCTTCGTTTTCTTTAAATTCTGTGGAAGAGGTTACCTAACTTTTGTGATCTTTATTGGTTTTATCTTTATTTGGGAAAAAAAATCTATATCTATCTATATATGTTTGTATTTATTAGCATTTTGCATGATCAGGAATTGCATCACATAACTTAGACTTATTTTGTAGGCCTTTTACAATTATCTTCTCGTTGTCTGTAAAAGAGACACAAATGTGGTAAAAGCAAAAGGGAAGCCCTCAACAGAGAAACATGACTGATACCTGAGAACATTCAGCTTATACTTTTGCTAACACGCCACCCATAAATACAAGTGAAGCAGTTGAAACTCCATCAAAGATATTGGCAAGTGTGGTTGATTTTTGACTGATCTAGACTAATTACATGGAGGCATGGTTGAACGTTTGAATTGCTTGACTGCACACTTTGCCTCCCACCATTACATCATTGATTCTCTGGCTAACTCACCTTTGCCCTACAACTTTTTTCAGCACCCTTTCTTTTCTCTGTATGCTGCATTCCTGTGATTTCCATTGAAAAAAAAAAATAGACTACCCTACTGAGGAAAACAGGTTACCACATTGCAAACATTCAGAAGTCTGTGGGACTCATTGAAGACTCCGAAACGCAATATTTAGTGCCAGTGCAATGAATCACCAGTTCACAGTGGTCCAAGAGTCCAAATAATCACTTAGATTCCACATTAGCTCCACGTTCCAATGTAAGCACTCCCAAGCTGCACCGTTTATCTTGTCTTTATGGTATTTATTTATTGTTCAATCTCAAGCTTTAGTTTGAACAATTTCAGAGGAACTGAAGACCCTTTTGCTGCTGCAGTCTGTTTTGTTGACTAAGTAATTATGTAAACATGATTAATTAGAACTAATTAACAAACATATTGTGGAAATGTCAACTTGTATGTCCTCTGATTCTTTGCTCACTGCAGCAGATACACATCTTGGGAATAACTGCTATGGTTGTATATTATTGTAAGGAGGCAAATGAAAATGTTGAGGCAGCGCTCCAGTTGTTTCATTTTCTCAACATAATGCTCGATCTATCATGTTAAATCATGCTAATATTCATCCATCATTGTAAAAATCCCAGATAAACTTTATGTTGTTCCTCTCATGTGTCTCATCCCTGTTTATTTTTATTCCCTCAGGTTTCTTGGACAGTTTTGCTTTCCTTTTTTACTTTTCAGATGATTTGTGCCATATGTCAGTCTCAAAGACAAAGAGTGAATGTTGTACAACGAAAATAACATATTTTTGGTGCTGGTATCAAATACATGTTGGAAGCTACTTTACTTACAATGGATAAGTTCCAAGTGGACAAAGTTAAAGAAAAAGGATTACATGCTGCTGTCAGAAAACAATGTATCAAAGGAATTCATTTAATTCCTAATTAATTTAACCAATTAATTCATTTAGTCTTTTTAAACTATGCTGCGGCCATAGAAAATATTAACATATTGTATATCCTTTTTCTATCTATTGACAGTGCAGGCAACAAAACTAGCTGTGCTAAGTATGTTGAGGTTAAACTTTTTCCAATTTGTTTGGCAAGAGAGTCAACCATTGGAAGAATAAAAGTCTTTGGCATGATCGCCGTGGAGACTCTGGATCAGACTAGTATTTTAAGCCTGTGAGGGTCTTTCCCTTCTGGATTTCATTTTAGAGACATATGCTTTTATGTTTATAGAACAAGACTTCCTGTAAAAGACCCTGTGTTGGACGGGCAACCCAACAGGGGTTCATGGTGTCCGGCCCCCTTTCGAACCGAACTTGTGGATTGTATAGAAGAATTAACAAGTATTATGGGTTTCATTGCAGAAAATTACACACTAGAACAATTTTTATAGAGCAGTGATGGAGAAATTATTTACTTGTGGGTATGTTACACAGGAAAAGTGCTCACTGTAAAGGGAGTAGCGCATACATTTCCCCAGAAATATTTCTGTAATCATACAGGATATATAAATACTATTGATTTTTTTTTTATCCTATTAAACCCAGTCGTATGTGTGGTGATGATCACATTGCTTCCTTTATGTCATACGTTTATCAGTCCGATCCAAGACCTCTGAATGTCACATGTGATTCGGAAGTCAGAAGGTTTTTTATCTTCAAAACCCTGCTTATGTGTTTTTGAAATGGAAAAAAAAAGTTCCACACCTTAAAAGTAGAACTGTATCTTTTGAGGTGTCATCTGTGATGATTATGGATACTTTCATGTTAGTTGTTACAGTCAAAGACACATCCAGATAGTTCAGCAATTTTCCACAAGAAAGCAATATTTACAGCTCATTCCAAAAAGCGAAATGTTGGTTTTAATCTCACTATAGTTTGTCAGATGTTATCATAAATATGAGATGTGCTGATGAGCTCTTTCTTTTTTCCTCAGGTCGAACCAGCCATGCTGAATGTGTGTTTGAGGCTGGTGTTGCTCCTCGCCTTGGTTTACTGCGTCCCCTCCCCCTCACGGCCTCCCTCTAGACTCTGCAGACGGTGCTGTGACCAGCAAGACCCACCAGCAGCCACAGCTCATTATCAAATGCCTGAAGTCAGAACTGTCATCAACATGACTATTCTCAAAGGTATCACAAGCCTCTGCCAACTACTGTTGATTGCAAAATGTTGAATAAACAGGTGTCAATTCAGGTATATTTCAGCCACTCCACTTTTCAGGATATTGTATCATTTCTGAAGGAAGTCACATGGAAACCAAAATTTTCCCTTTAGATTTCACAGATAGATTACACTTGGTATGCAACACAGTGTTTTCAGTGAGCTTTCATGCTAATTGACTGAAATCTGTCAGCCATGAATGTGTTACTATAACCCCGTCGTGAGCTAAATTTACTTGCTCACTGCCTGTGCTTATGCAGATGAACGTATGCCTGACAAAAAGTGCTTAATCAAAGGAGCAATCATGCTGGAACAGAACTGATAAGTGTAATTATGCATTGAGGGTTAAGTGGGAAAATGGGGGAAAAAAGACGGCCTTTGAAAAAGGAAATTAGACGCACTACTGATCGAAGCAACCTGGAACCACTTTAAAAATCAGTCTCCCTAAAACATCTCGGGAGTAAAAAAGTGTCAAACACTGTCACATATCACAACTTTAGACACTATCTCTCAAACCTGACATGGATTAAGTAAGTAAGGAAAATAACTGATTGAATGATTAAATTCACGTATTTATATCTGGAGTTAGAAAGTTCTGCAATTTCAATGACATTATCTGACTAAGGCCAGCCATAACTTAAGTGAACCCAACTCCATTGCACACAAAGAAATTCCTGAATTCTTTTTTCCGAGAATCTCTGTGGACCCATGAAGACATTTGCTAAATACACTTGGCTGATTCAACACAAATAGCCAGTTACGGATTATCCAATGTAGGCTGCAAAGGTCAAATAAGAAACAGTGTGTGTTGGTATGTTTGTGTAGTATTTTTTAAATGCTCTATATGAGCCTAGAGGATCAAAAGTACGACAGGGTAAAGGGCTTAAAAAAGGCAGGATTTTTTATATGCAACAACTTCACAATTACAGCCAAAAGGGGATTTGTGGGAACATGTGTATCCAAGTTTAGATGCTTAGCAGGCAACTCAACCAAAGGCATATTGGCCCTTTGATAACTGAACATGCCAAGTCTGTTCTGACCCATGAACAACCCCTAAACCGGTCCAACAGCTGAGGCACAGAAGAAAAAAAACATCCCTCTCTTGACTCACATACCCACAGACTCATGCACACATTTGCATACACAGTTTTAGTTGTATAGAAGCTCTATAACACATTAAAACGTTGCGGTGCGTATGCATTCTCGGAAGAGGGGGAAAAGAAACAAGAAAATGACTGTGGCCAACAGAAATTTAAGCTACAATTTTCTTCTGGTGATTTGGTTGTGCAGGTATTTGGCAGCTGGAGCCAGAGGTTGGGCCAGAGTGTTCCCAGAGTTTAAGTGAATGAAACCCAGTCTGAGGCTGGGGAGTGGGTTGGAGGCTGCAGCTTCAGGGCTATAAGCTGGAGCAGGAGCAAATGTGGGGGTAGTAGATGTGAGATCTTGATTGTTGGCCTGTTTAATTTGGCAGAGTGCTGCTCCAATTCCAAATCCTACTCTGTATTTACATAGACAATCGGCAGGAAAGAGCAGAAAAGAGAGAAAAAATTGTGTCAATAATTCCTGTAATGAATGTTTGACCCCTCTGCTACATTCACAAGATCTGAAGTATGCTTTACACATTGTTAAAAAATACAGGAGGGTCACTATGGCCCTGAAACATTTTTGATATGAAAGAAAAGTTTAAAATCAAAGACAAAAGGTTAAAATCGAATAAGTTGTTTTCCTCTTTCATTTTGTACAAAGTAAACATGTTAATCAGAAGTGGATTTTAAGATAAATGCCTGCGATCTTAAGGAATCAAATGCTGTGAAACAAGAACTGTCTTTTGCTCTTAAAAACACGCTCAGGTTTCAATATATCGTTTACAGTTCAGTCCCATCAGAGATGGTGTTTGTGGACAGTAATATCACTCACTGTTTCATGTGGAGAGGGGTCACACCTGGATCTGTGTGCAGATCTGGAAAGGATAAAAAGTGTTTTTCTCTTCAAGAGATGTTGGTTCGGGGGATAAAGGGCAGGGCTGGGATTTATCCCTGTGTGGTATTCCCAGACAGTCTATGTTCATCTCAGTACTGCGTCAGGACCTGTTTAAAGAAATGCAACACCTTAGAACCAAAAATTTGATATCATGTATGTCACAATCATTAGACCATAGATGTACCACTCAACATTTAATAGTTTATCAGTGTATATGACCCCTTCCCCAGAATTTATTTTATACTCGAGCTGTCCCAGATTTGTACCAATTATCTGTGTGTAATTATGTCTCTCAAGGTGATAAAGGAGACAGAGGAGACAAAGGCACTTCTGGAAAGCCAGGTCTGGATGGCCCTCCCGGCCATCGGGGACCCATGGGTCCCAAAGGCAGCAAAGGCCAAGCGGGTGCTCCTGGAGATGCTTGCAAGATCCCTCATTCCTCCTTCTCCGTGGGGCGCCGCAAGTCTTTGCACAGTCTGGACTACTACCAAGCCCTGGTTTTTGACACCGTGTTCGTCAATATCCATGAGCATTTCAACATGTTCAAAGGTAAGTTCTACTGCTACGTGCCCGGAATCTACTACTTCAACGTTAACATCCACACCTGGAACTTTAAGGAGACTTACCTCCACCTGATGCACAACGACAAGGAGCAGGTGATCCTGTATGCCCAGCCCAGTGAGAGGTCCATCATGCAGAGTCAGAGCGTCATGATGGATCTGGCTCTAAACGATGAGGTCTGGGTTCGGCTCTACAAGAGGGAGAGGGAGAACGCCGTTTACAGTGACGACGTCGACGTTTACATCACCTTTAATGGATACCTGGTGGCGCCTAGCATCCAGTGAACGTTTTAGAGAGGGATTAATAAACTGATTGGAGTATTGTTTAGGTCAGTTTTTTATTTTACTTTTGCCAAAAATACTGCTTTCCGAGAGACCGATGAATTGGTGCTTTTTCAAACATTCCTTTCACTCTGGAGAGGAAAGTGCTGTGCCTCAAATGAGGACCACCGAAGAGTGGTAGAATCAGAAAGAAAAACAGCCCACAATTGATCAAATATTGAAATACATTCTTTTGCACTAAAAATAAAATGTTGTATAAGAATTGTAAATCAATGTTCTACTTCTACTGGACTGTGCCATTGCCTCTGCTTGGACCAGTTCTATGAATGTCAATGTTAGAAAAAAACAAAAAAAACAGGTTGCATTAATCATCAGGAATAACTAATCTGTGCAATTGCATTTATGACTGAGTTGCTGTCAGATGGAACTCTGTTTAGGCAGACTTCTGTCATACTTTTGAGTAAATGCTTCTATTGTGACTTTCAAAGGGAAGACTTGAAGTCAGTTAATCCATATAAGTAACTAAACACTACAGCTGATGGCTGATAGCCACTTTTCTATGTAAAACGCTGATGTTGGCCTTTGGGGTCTACTACCCTTTCATTGTTATAACTGGTTTAAATTTGCAAATGTGTTCATCACAATGTTTCATGCCCAACAACCAAAAAACAATTCTTATTAAGAAACAAACTCAGACCGAAGCATCATACTCTGTAGTCACCGTTATTGTTCTGTGAGCCAATCGAGGGGCGATTTGTTCCACATTTTGCACAATGTCTGATCATCATAATTCTGCTCTGGGAAATTCCCCTCGGGTGTGGTTTCTTTTATAAGGCTAAAGAGGATAACATTTTATTTAGTTCGCGTCAGACAACTTCAGTGACAACTTTTGTGAACTCAGGTAGTGAGATTTCTATTTGACTTATGTGGCTACTTGGCACGATTTTTATGCGAGCGTAATGCAAGCAAGCAAAAGGAAAATATTAACCTATTGACACCAATTTATATGAGTAATGCACTCATATTGAGCATGAAAACACTTTAACATTTAGATGAAAACATATAAATGATTCATATCTTTCTTCCTTAGGGTTACATTGTGCTTTTTTCTGTGTCAGTGTTGCATCCACAACAACAAAAAGACACAGAATGTTCCAGTAAGACACACTGTACACTTCTGGATTTGTTGTTTTCTTCCCTTTATTACATGAGCGATGTTATCACAACTTTCTCTCTTATCGTGCTTCTCTTTTTACTGCAAATTCCACAGAAATTACTGTTGGAATTCCTTGCAGCTTCAAACTTTTAACTATATCCCCAAACAAAAGCAAAACTATCAGCATTGCTGGGTTAAGCATTAATATTTGTTTGCATAATATTGGTTAACTGACATTGCAGCATATCAAAATATATAAAGATGGTGCTGTTCTTTCAAATGCAACAAAGAATCAGGACTTGTGTTTTCTTATAGCGACAGCAAACTGCAGAGCAGTTTATGTAAATAGTTATATATTATTATCTTAAATTGTTACCATTTGTTTGAGCTCCATTGTGCAGGTATGTGTTTATTTTTCTTTTTTTCACTTTTTGTTCTTTGACAACAAGAATGATACACAGGATTTCAAGAAAAGTTGTTACAACCTCACATGAAATCAAGAGCCTCTATTTCCTGTTGATATCTGCAAATAAAAACATTTTTTAACCACAAAGCAAACCTGAATTTAATTTCACATTTCTGGGTAAACACGGTTCTCACACGTCTCTCAAATGATTCCTGAACAATGTTGCTAGCCATCATAACACCTTGGAAATGAACATTCAGATTTGACCATCATAATTAGCCCGATTTCCATAACTGGCCAATTCTTAACATCTCAAACTCCCTGAGACGGGGGATGAGCATGCCAGTTCCATCTGCTGGGCCATATCTCTCCCATTAGCTTTAATGCCATCCTCAGGGACGCTTTGCTAGCGGAAAAGCAGACTGCAGTGCTGTAAATACTTTAAGCCGTCAGAGGGTCTCTGAAAGGCTCTATTGGGAAACAAAAGCAGGGCACATTTCCTGGTTTATCAGCCCAGAATAGTGGAGGCTGTTCCAACATGCACAACAGGCTTGCTGCGGGTTAAAATGAACACTCAAAATGTTAAATCCAACAGTGAATTCTTACATAATTACATAATTTAAGATACTGCAAAACCGGGTATATAAACTTAAGCTGCATTTACTGAACAGCTGCAAAATTCAACCAAGATAAGTTTTAACAATGACAATTATAGTAATATTAAAAAATGATCAGTGCTTAAATGTTTACTTTCAAATCATCGTTATAAATGTAAAGGTCAAGGATCAGAATTCAGCCCCCTCTGTTTCCAGCAAAAACAACGTATGTGGAAGTGTGGAACAGTGTTACTGTGAGCTCTCAACACCATTTTATAACATTCAGATTGAATAAAACAGGCCATGCTTAGAGGGCAAAAACAAATATTCCTCCGAGAGATTATAACTTTAGGAGTGCACAAATAATTTGTTAGGTTCAGTTTCAGACGCGAAGAGTATGGAGAGGATTTTAGGAGTATTACTCATACTCAGCTGTCACTGGGCTGGTCAAAGCAAAGACTGGGCCGCCCATTCTCTGAGGAAGTAAAACAACTCATTGATACGATTGCTCCATGCTTGGCAGTTGGTTTAGCCTTCTTGTCCCATAAAGATGCTGATGGTCTGTAACAATCACATCCACTGTCCCCACAGCCAAGCAGCTGTCTTTGAGATGTCAGCCCATGAAATATTAATCCTGAAGGAAAAGCCATTACCTACAAATTTTTAAGAGAGAGAAAAAAAATTCCTTGGAGTTTTTGGACAAGTGAGACTTTTTCTTCCTTTTTTGATGTTGTTTGTGCCTGTCATCTAAATTTTCAATAAGCTGCAAGGCTTACATAACAAACCTGTGATGAAATTTGACTGATTCCTGAGGAATTCATTTTGCATTTCACTATTTAGATGCTGACTTAAATTTAGTCTGGCTGCCAGTTCTTGACAAAAAGTCAAGTCAGTCATTTGAAAGATGACTCACTTGTTGGGGATTGTGCTCATGGTGGTAGTCATAGTGGAACATTTATTTGAACTTCTGCAGGTTAGACTTTTTTATACAAGGTGGCTACATTCCAGTGGTCTTTTGATACTGGCTTGTCAACATGTAAAGATGACAGTACATCTACAGTACATGTACACAGTAATTGCTTTTTTCAATGTGACTGGTATGGATTTAGGTCCTGTGATGTGTGCCCAATGACAGCTGGGATAGGCTCCAGGCTATGTCCAGTAGGAATAGAGATATAGTAAGTGGGTGGATGGATAACCTGAATGTTTTCCCCCAGAGTTAAAGAGCATCTGATACAAAATGCTGAATTGACATGTTGTAATCATTTGAAAAAGCTTTTTCCCTTCACTTTTCTGAACTTTTCTATGAGCTCCAACATTTTTTCACAAGCATGAACAAATAGGTTTGCTGACTTATCATAGAATCAATTAGTTATGAACTGACTTAAAGATAAATGAAGCAGTTTTCTCTTTCAATAGTGCCTCATATTTTTTGTGGTTTACATAGTTTAAAAGATTACCTTTAGCAGAGTAACACGAACATGTGACTTATGAGTTCTGTAAGATGATTTGCTATTAAAAAAAAACTTTAAAGTTATGTCAACATCCATCCATCCATCCATTATCGTTAAAGCTTAAAGTTTTTTTTTTTAGCAATTTATAATTTTTTTCATTTTAGTTTTTAAATTCTAATTATTCAATAATCCATGCTAAGCACTTTGACATTTTTAATTTAGTTATATAAATTATTTTTTTCCCCTGGTGAAATAGTCCAGAATGACACTGGAAAAAATGCCGTTGCCTTGTGTTCCATTCGTGACATATTTTCGATGAAGACATTTTATCCAAGCCGTGCCTTAGTGTAATTACATTTTTTACTTGAATGCTTTCTAAATGTCATAGAAACGTTTGTTTTTCTACTTCAAATTTTCCCATGAGCCAGTGCACAACGTCGCTGACAGAGAAGCAGGAAAACCACCGAGGGCTGGAGAGGTTCTTGACACAAAGTGGATAACAAGAACCACCTGCCTCAAGATGATGAACACAAAAAGGGGGGGTGGGGGTGGGGGAATGGGAAGGAGGTGTTATATAGAAGGGGAAGTCGTAACCTCTGATCTGTTCAAATTATCCATGGACTAACACACTAGTAGCATGGTCTCTATAAAAAATGATGGGTGGTATCTTACTATTTCTAACTTGCTGTCAGAATTCATGGTATCAGTAAGTACCGTGAGGCCTTCCACATTCCTATACATGGCTCATCACTGATACCAAGGAGACGGGAAATTAAAGGGTAGAGCCTGTGTGGTGGGAAAGTTATGATAAATGTTACAAGTCTATGAAGACAGGTTTAAGACTGTTTTATTTAGGTTGGGGAGCTCGGAGGCCTGAGGCTAACAGCTGTTTTCAGGGTTGACTGAACTGCTGCCTGACTTGGAGATTTGAAACAGGAAGCAGGGCCTAGTGCTGAGGCTGGGTTCTCCTAATTTAGACCATATGACATGTGACCACACTCATCTTGAGGACAGAAAAAAAGGACCGCAGAGTGGCCATAGAAAGAAAGATGAGTCAGAAGGAGGTGGGAATACAGGTGGCAGCAAAATGAGTAACTGAAGGGCTTCAAGAAGTTTGTAGGACTATATGTAAACAGGGTTATGAGATATATCCTTCAGATTTATCATGTCAAGAAATGACATCTCTTAGTAACAAAAACACCAAGCTGAAAATATCCTAAATGTGCAGCTTTTAAAGCAACAATTTGTTTCTGCTGCATAAGCAGTCCAAATAGGAATGGATGCTCAAGAGCCAACCACGTTCTTATTTAACATCCAAAGTAAACAACATAATTTCCATTATGTCCCTCTACGAGTGCATAAACCAATGAGCTGCACCGTGTAAGTTTTATTACCTAATATGCAGACATGTAGGTCATTTGGAGTTTATTCTGGCACCAGGCTGATTGATTTTTATTTTTTCCCTCAATGTTTCTCTTTTTTTAAACTAGTAAAAGGGTATCAATTGATTTTTATTTGTGTTTGAAAGCTCACATCACTGTCAGTGAGTTGTTTATAATTTCATTTTTTGCTGCAATTTGACAATCACAGTTCTACCATGATAGTGCCAAGATATAAAAGGGGGAACAAAAATAAACCTCATTCTGCCTGGAGCAACCCATCTCTGGCGCCTGATTTGACTTATGCAATGGACTGTGTGTGGTTCAAGAACAAAAACGTGGCCTTCATGTTTCCGTGGAAAGTTTCCAAAGTTCTTAACTGTCCTCCAGTGAGATTTCAGTACCAAACTCTGGAAAATGCAGAGATTAGGAATGCTTTCTTACTTTGATTAATAAAACAATCATAATGTGCTGATTGAATCTCCTGTCACTTATCGAAATACTGCAGCTACCAGCACATTTTCGTAACCTCACCAAGCTTAATTGAATTGGAGCTAGACACTGAGGCTCAAAACTCTGGCCCAATGGTCTAACGTGTGTTTTAGCTTATGCTGATTTAAAAGGAAGCATTTATAAAATAAATAATAAATAATGCATTCATCATCCAGGCATGTAACTTATAGACATTGTTATTTACTACCGCAATTCCGGTGTGTCCCCAGACCCTTTGGGTCATTATATATTGCAAAAACTACGTTCCATTTGTGATCTTTTTTTCCTGTCTTGCATGACAAAAAAAAGTGTTAGCAAAAGAAATGAGGCATCCAAATTCGGAGTCCCAAAAAGTAACGACATCCAAAGTGCAGCAACGTGTTTAAACTGCCTCATATTTATAACACGAGAGGATTCCAGTCCCATTAAACAATGCTCTTTGACACTTGAGAATTGAGTTTCCATCTTTTATAGCCATGGCTAACCATAAAAAGTCATTCTTTTAAACGCTTTATAGAAATGTAATTATACAGCTACATGATGCATTCTGAACAGCCCTGTTTGACCGCAGCATGTTGATTCCAAGCAAGGCCGATTTTCACCCTGAATATTGTTCGACCACATAAAATTCTTGGATTTGTCTGTCAAAACCACCGTTGTGCCTTAGCCTTGGCAACTACTATTTAAACCTCTGCTGAAACTACATTCGGAGAAGTCCCCGTTCTTTCATTTTGTGGAAAACAACAACTTTGATTTAGTTCAGCGGTATTGTGCTCGCAGGAAAACAGACAAAAGAAATTGGAGCAAACAAGAGCTGCAGCAGTGGAGATCAAACTGTGACCGTCTTCGAGAAACCTGGGAGCTTAAATACACAGCAGACTGATGAACTGGTGACTGCTGCTGGGATGATTGACCAAAGATGGCAATTCTGTATGGAAGAGCAACACAGTTGAAGAGGTTCTACTGAGAATAGGAAACTGAGATAGAACAAACTACAGAGGGAAATAAGACCGGGAATAAAAGACAAGCCCAAGAAAAGAACTGAGATAAGAATAATCTGAATAAGATTTAAGAAAACAAACAAAAGAAAAAGCAACTGAAAAAAATAAAGAAACTAAAATACAGAAAATACAGAGGCTAGAAGTAGACAAATACAAATAGGATGGATCTGTTTTTAAAATACGGACACTAACACAGAGAATCAAACAAAACAAATAAAAAAGGACAGGG